TGTCCCCTGGATCCCAAAACAGCGCAGATGTCTCGACAAAACATTTAGTGTTGTTAGAATCTTCAGTGGAGTGTGTTTGGAGGATATCTGAGCTGCTTTGCTCAGAACTAGTTGTGTCCCTCAGCACTGTGCTGTGCAGAGCAGCTGTAGGAAACGGTGGTTCTGGTGGTTCCCAAATGGGCACAGCCATGGAGAATGGGGGGTGGTGGTGTGGCCAGGGATTAGAGCATTGGGCTTTTGTCTCCAAGACTTTTGGATTCGATTCCCTTTTCTGCTGTTGACTCATGGCATCACTTTCACATGAGTCACTTACCCTTTTGGTTTGGATTTACTAATGTGCTGGAATGGGTTTAGTACCTCTGCCCCAGTTTCACTGGTTCTGTACAAAGGACTTGGGGTTCAGGGCATGTCTGTGGAGGAGTGTGGGTGCCTTGGTATCCTCTCTTTTCTCCCTTCTTCAGTTGTGAGGTGGCTTCTTGGTTCTTTGCCCTGTGTGCTCTGGCTGCAGCCACTTCCCCCTGCCTCTGCCCTATTTGTCCTAGAGGGCAACTTGTAGGATTGGTGTATTTGATTTCAAATTTTACCATTTCATGCCCTTAAACATGTTGGAAACTGAATTGGAGCTAAAAAGCTGCCTTAAGAAACCTGCCTGTTTCCTCTGCAAAGCAGGAAAGGACTCTGAACCTTCATCACTTGACTTATTGTGTAAGTGAACTTTATTCAGTGGGCTGAAATAAATGAATTAAATGTGCAGGAGATGCTTCTCTTCAGTTATTTGTTTTCCTCATTTAAAAGTTTTATTTACTGTGCAAAGCCCAGGTTGCTGGGGGGGCTCAGCCTGGAGAAAAGGAGGCTCAGGGGGGACCTTCTGGCTCTGCAACCCCCTGACAGGAGGGAGGAGCCAGGGGGGGTCGGGCTCTGCTCCCAGGGAACAAGGGACAGGAGGAGAGGGAACGGCCTCCAGCTGTGCCAGGGGAGGCTCAGGTTGGACAGGAGGAGGAATTTCCTGCTGGAAAGGGTGGTCAGGCCTTGGCAGGGGCTGCCCAGGGAGGTTTGGAGTGCCCAGCCCTGGAAGTGTTCAAAAACCATGTGGCACTTGAGGACGTGGTTTGGTGGTGAACGTGGTGGTGGTGCTGGGCTCACAGTTGGACACGATGATCTTAGAGGTCTTTTCCTGCCTTAACAATTCTGTGCCGGTTCTTTGATCCATGTCCCCCTCGGTATCTCCACCCTCCCCAGTGCAGGGCTCTGTGGTGCCCAGGGTTCCTCTGGATCCAGCTTACAGGAAGGGTTTGCAGTCAGGATGTTGGTGACTCTCCTCACCCACCGCTCATTGCTCATCTCCATAACGGATTTCTCTGCATCCTGAAGAACACTCACACTTTCCTTTGTGCCTGTGCCTCTTCACCCATGAGCAGAGTGGTGGAGCAGTGGTGCTTTGGAAGTGCTCTTACATGGTTTTTCCAGGCTTGCACCTGCAAACCAACATCTCCATCCTGTTGGGATGTGTCTGGTCAGGTTGAGTGGGCAGTGGTTGGTTGTGAAGAGCTTTCAGAGCCTAAGGTACATTATTAAAAGTGTGATTACTGACTCTCCTCCTCTGTTCAAAGCAGCTGCTCCACTATTGGGGTGTTGGCTTAACAAAACAGGCACATCCTAAATCCTTACCTGTGCTTTGTCATTTTTTGGATAGATATCTATCTCTCTATTCATGATGAGTGCTGGTGCCAAGGAATACCTGTGGTTTCTATTACTAACACTTATGAGGGTGATCAAATAATATTACTGCATCAAGCATAAGCAGTTTTGGGGGACTGGAAGCCTCTCAACTTCCTTAGTTGTTGTTCATGGTCATGTCCTTGTGACAGTGCGTTGTCAGTCCCCAGGGAGTGTCGTGGCTTGGAGTGTGGAGTCTGGAGAAAGGACCAGAACTCAGGAGTCACGTGGATCTTTTCTTATAACTAATCCCATCTATTGGCACCTTAAATTGCCTTTCAGGGAGATTTTTGACAGATTACCAGTTTGATCAGATAGGGCCTTTCTGCCCAGCTGTGCCATTCTTTTAATGCTTAGTAACCACCAAGAGGTTTTTACTTTATTACCACTGAAGAGTGGAAAATTCTTCTGGGTTTTGGAAACTGGGAACCAGATGGGCCCTTTGCTCAGGCCAAAACATGTGATAGTGGTAGCAAGTGAATTTTTGTCTGATTTTGCTTCTTTTTAGATACTCGGGGAAACTGTGCAGTGGAAGGGAACAGCCTTGCAGTCAGGCTGGGAAGTAAGAAGGAAAGAAGTAGAAAATAAACCCCTGTAGATACATTTTTAATATGGTGTCACCATGTCTGCTTGTCTCTCTCCTGGTAACTGAGGAGTTGTACAAATCCACATAAATTCCTGTTACCTGTCTGGTAGTTTTTTGCAAGGTAGTGGTAAATTTGAGGCTGTCTTCATGCTATGTAGTAATATCAGATGTTTTTATTACAAAATAAACTCCTGGCCAAAATAATATTTGTCCCTCTTCTGTTTCTGATTAGTAACTTTTACTGCTTTTGGCTCTGTCACAAAGATATGAATTGGGTTAAAGCTGGTGTTAGAATTGCTTTAAAAGTGTTTGTGGTCTTGTAACCAGATAGTTTATTTAATAACTAAATTTAATATCTTCTCTGTTTTGGATTATGGATAAGGAGGACAGACATTCTAAAGAAATTCTGACTATGTTTTGGTTTAGAAATCTTGCTACAAGTGGTGACTTCTTCAAATAAATTCTAATTCTTCAGATACCAGGCAATTAAAGTTGTAAGTAAAAGGGCATTGTGGGGGCAACAACTTACTGATGCTGAGACCTGATGTGGTTAGTCACTCAATTTGTAGGTAGTATTTTCAGGTCTGAAGCAGTGCCACAAATCTGTACAAGTGAACTGAACTTGAAATTCTATATGTTTTGGCAGCAGACAGGAAGCTAAGGAGGGTCAGAATGACAGTATTTGGCTCTCACCATGTATTTTACTCCTTGACCAGAAGAATCAGACATTACTTCTGTGTGCCTGTAAGGAACCTGAATAGGAGGAGTCAACACAGGGGGATTTCCCCTTTCAACAGGGGATTAAAATCCCTCTTGTGAGGACCACAGGCAGATCAGGAGACAACTTCTGGTTTTCAGAGAAAACCATTTCATCCCACAGTCTGAATCTGACTGGCACAAATCCCTCGTGATATTTTCTTTCTGACCACGACCCAGATATTCCCCAAAAGAAGTGTCTCTGGTTGCATCCCGATGTCTGAAATCTTCCTCATTAAATTAGGCAAGTCTCTTCATGAAGGTGTTCTTCACTTTGGCCAGGTGGATTCTTTATTTTCCCATGGACCACCTCCATCAGCAAACTAGGCTTCGTGGTCAGGAAGCCCAGGGTCTCACTGGTGTCACCACTTGAGCCTGACAGCATCTGCTTGAGCTGTTGCTCTTCCAGAGTAGAAAGACCAAGGCCTCAGGCTGCAGCCTTGGGCACCTGTGCCCCTCCTTCTTTCTCCAAGAGGGGCAAAGCCCCTCTCATCTGCTCAGGGTCTCCCCTGCTTGTGTTTGCACCTCCTGAGTGCTGCTGGTGCAAGAGAGGGAGGAAGCTGGAAGGAAGTCTGCTCTGCCCCTCTCGGACTTTTCCAGCTTGGCAGAACCTTCCATGCTGCTGGCTGGTTCCTGGCTCCCCTTGCTCAGGATCAGCAGAGCTCTCATCCCCTACTTCAGTCCGAGAGTGCTCCTGTCATCCAGCAATTTGGGAAGAAGAAGGGGCTGTGAGTTAATGACATACAGATTCATGGCGTGGCCTCCCATCAGGGGCTGGGTGCACTTCTGGGTGCCACAGTGTAGGAAAGATCTCAAGGTGTTGGGGAGTGTCCAGCAAATGGACATGGAGATGGTGAAGGGTCTGGAGGGGCCATAGGAGGAGCAGATGAGGGCACTTGGCTTCTTCAGCTGGAGAAGAAGAGACTTGAGGGCAGAACTCAGCGGGGGCTGCAACTCCTCCCAAGGGGCAGCTCCAATCCCTGCTCTGTGTGAGCAGGGACAGCACCCAGGGAATAGCTGGAGCTGTGTCAGGACAGAGGTTGGATCTCAGGAAAAGGTTCTTCCCCAGAAGGTGGTTGAGCACTGCCCAGGCTCCCCAGGACAGTGGGCACAGCCCCAAGGCTGCCAGAGCTCCAGGAGGGTTTGGACAACGCTCTGAGGGACAGGGTGGGATTGTTGGGGTGTCTGTGCAAGGCCAGGAGTGGGACTGGATGATCCCTGGGGGTCCCTTCCAGCTCAGGACATTCTGTGATTCGGTGGCATATAATGTTTATTTACCACTTGTAAGTGTTTATAGGAAGTGCTGTGGTGACACCCTGTTCCTCTCCTCTCTGCAGGTCCCAGTCATAGCGATCCTGGGCTCGGGAGGTGGATTTCGTGCCATGGTGGGGTTTGCTGGAGTTATGAAAGCACTTTATGAATCCGGAGTTTTGGACTGTGCCACTTATGTTGCTGGGCTCTCTGGATCCACCTGGTAAGGGCTTTGTCTTTTGGTTTGCTTCCAGTTTTCTTCAGGAGGTTCAAGAATGAATTTTCATGAGGGTTGACTTATTTCTGTGGTTAAAATCAACAGCAAATTTTAAACATGCACTGTCAGTGTGGAAAAGAGAGAGAGACAACTCTCTTGCAGCAGAGTGGGGCAGTGGGGTAAGTCACTGACAGAGAGTAGGTTTAGATGGGATGTTGGGAAGGAGTTCTAGTCTGTGAGAGTGGGGAGGCCCTGGCACAGGTTGCCCAGGGAAGCTGTGGCTGCCCCTGGATCCCTGGAAGTGTCCAAGGCCAGGTTGGACTGGGCTTGGAGCAACCTGGGCTAGTGGAAGGTGTCCCTGCCCATGGCAGGGGGATGGTCTTTAAAGTCCTTTCCAACTCAAACCAGTCTGGGATCCTCTGAAGTATGGAGGTGTTTCAGAATGCCTTGAAGGGTGAGGACATCTCAGGATCCAGGTGATCTTCCTAAGAGCTTTGAGAGCAGGAATGGATGGAAAGAGGTGCCACACATACACACCCTCATTTCTATGTCAGCCCCCAATACTGCATGTACCAGGACTGTGTAACTGATTCATTCATCTCCATAACCAAAATATTAGGAATTCAAGCTGTTGGAACAAACCCAAAGTATATTTTGTGTGTTGTTTTATTTTCCTGATGAAATGTGGAAAAAAAAATCCCTTATGATTTGAAGCTGATGACTCAATCAATCCAACATGGATTTTATACTTCAGGAGGGCTTTTCAGAGCTTCTCTGATAGGTCTTTTGCTCCATTTCAGACCCAGTAGTCCCCTTCTTAGTGGCTTTACTGGGAATGCCTAGGACCTGACTGCCATGCTTCAGAGCATCCCACTATGGATTGCCTTGTCTCACTCCCATTGCCACTGTTTAATTTAGAAATTACATTGGTTTTTAGTCAGATGGGAGGGAAGATCTTCCCAGATGCCTCGATCAGGCTGCCCTGATGAGGTAGGTATGATGTCCCTGTGTCTGACTCAGGGAGTGCTGCAGCCCAGTTACAGGAATAAGATCCACAGGAGAAGATGAGAGTGATGTCAGTGTGTGAAAGGGGCCTGCAGGCAGCAAAATGCTTTGAACCCCAGAATCCTGTCTGCCTCAACCACTAATGACTGAGAAGGTTTCTCTTCTCCCTGCCCAGTGCTATGAACCTGTTGCCTTTCACCTTCTTGGCTCTTACAAAAAGGATCCCAAATTACACTTATTACAAGCATCTTATTACAAACATTGAAACTATTTGTTTGGACGTTTCTGAGCTGAAATGATGTAACATATTTTAAAGGTGTGTCGTTTTCATCAGCCAAAAACATCTGACAAATTCAGTTTCAACTCCTTACCATCACACTTTGTTCATTCAGTGAAAAATGGCAGACTTCTTTTTAACTAGCTGTAAAATTTGGTTTTAATGCCACTGGAGCAGTTTGCAGTAGAGGATTTTGCATCCTAAGAAAATTTTGAACTTTTTAAGGCAAAAATATGTGTCAAACGTGTCCCAAATGTCACAAAATGGGATTTTATCAGAACTGTACCAGTTTGAAAACTGGAGCTGCATCTCAATCCAGTTTAGGGCCACCCAGTACAGGAAAGGTATTGAAAAACTGGGTTAATTCCATTAGAGTACCACTGAGACAATTAGGGGACTGGAGCATGTGAGGAAGTGGGGCAGCTGGATTAAAGGCAAAGGTAGTGGTGGGGGGAGATCTCACTGTTACCTTCAGCTTCCTGATGAGCTGTAAAGAAGAGAAACTCTTTTTGGAGACATGGAGAAAGGACAAGGAGTGATTTGATGAACATTAGGAAATCCATTTTGCAGTGAGAGTGTCCAAGCACTGGAATGTGTTGACCCATCCTGACTTGACTAGGCTGGGTTTGGTGTCAGCCTCTCTCTGTCTGACTCAGGGGATGCTCATACAAGAGCAGAACTTGACTGAACAGAACCCTGAGCAACCTGAGCTGACTTAAGTTGGCTCTGGATTGAGCAGGAGATTGGAGTAGAGACCTCAAGGGTCCTGCCAGTCTGAATTGTAAGGTTATGTGACTGTGTCTTTTCTTTGAGAGGAAGAGACTTTTTTGTTGGAATAGCCTAGTATAAGTGAGCAGGGAATCTGCCTGGGATGAGTTTTATCCCCTGGTTTAACGCTAAGGAAGCACCTGAATTTTGGTTCCACACATCTTAACCTCAAGAGTTACTAATTTCTTTGAAACAGATAATGACCAGTCCTGTTCCTTGTGGGGGGTTTTTTGTCAGTTATTTTCCACTATTTGGAGGTTACTTCCCCAATTCCAGACTAGATGGAAGCTTTCAGAATGCCAGGAGGTCTTGAAATGCCAGGAGTGTCTATGAACTAGAGTAACTTTCTCATTTGGATTGGACCATAAAAGGTTGGCATCCCGGAATCTGGGTTTTCTATCACTAGTGGTGGGGGCAGATTTATCACTGTCCATTGAGAGGCCTGGATGTACTTTGTTCAGAGTTGTGAAAAGCATAAGACATCATTTGGCTGGATGAAGAGCAGTGGAGTGTGAGAAACATGGAGTGTGTTTGTAGGGAAGGGTTTGTAGTCCACACTCTGAACAGACGTCAGCTCTGAGGTCTCTTTTTGGGAAAACCCAGTTGTGAAGACGTAGCTGATCTAATGTAAACCTATAAAATCTGTGTTAAAATAGATTATCTGAACTGCTTCAGTCAGAAACAGATATTGGAAACTGTTGGATTTGAACAAATTTGCTTTTGCTGTCTGATGTCACCTCTTCAGCCTTTCCTTGCTTGATGAATAAATAAATTGACACTTTGACACTCCCTTTCTTTTTTTTTTTTTTTCCATCCAATCTAGTACTTGGGACTAATGCTCTTTTCTTTTCTTTCCTGAAGGGTGGAGAATTCCTTTCCTGGCAGGAGAGGCAGGTTTTTGCTTGTCCCCTCAGCTGCATGCCTAACCTTGGAGCAATGCATTGACCTCCCTGGGTGTTCCTGCCACCTCTCTTCAACCTTGTGCTGATTCTCCATCCTGCACTTCCCTTTCCCTGCTCCCATGGAAGCTGCTGCTGTTGTTGCACCCAGGAGCTGACGTGCATGCTCAGCTTTGGTGCCTGGGCCAGAACCATGAGTCAAGTTCTTGCATCACACGTGGGACAGATAAACTGCTGGGCAGTGACCTCAGGGCCAGGCTGACTCTGTGTGTCTGAGCTGTGCCTGCACTATGGGATGTGTACCTGGTCATTGAGTAAATAATAGTAAATCAGCCTCTGGGAGATTAGGACAGCCTATCTTGAGCCTTGGTGTTGCTTAATCCAACCAGGTGAAAGCCACGGTTTCCTGCACGTGTGGCTAAACTGTGTTTTTGAGTAAACTGAACTTGTTTCTCAGTAACACATCAAGAATTGCCTGATAGGTCTCTTCTGAATCCTCCCAGTCAATTAACACTCTGCACAGGTTGTACTTACTGTGCTTCAGCTTGTTCTGGAAGCATCCAGATCCTGGAAAGCAGTATTGCAGCCCTGAATGCCCTCAGGTCCTGGGCTGATCCCCCAGCGTGGGCAGCAGGGCAGGGGGGGATTCTGCCCCTCTGCCCCCTCAGCTGAGACCCCCCTGCAGAGCTGCTCCAGCCCTGGGGAACAGCACAGCAAGGACATGGAGCTGCTGGAGAGAGTCCAGAGGAGGCACCAAGATGAGCAGAGGATGGAGCAACTCTGCTGGGAGGAAAGAGGAGAGAGTTGGGATTGTTCAGCCTGGAGAGGAGAAGCTTTGGGGTGACCTGACTGTGGCCTTGCAGGATCTGAAAGGGCTCCAAGAAAGATGGAGAGAGACTATGGACAAGGGATTGAGTGACAGGACAAGGAAGAATGGCTTCAAACTGCCAGAGGGCAGGGTTAGATGGGATACTGGGAAAGAATTGTTCCCTGTGAGGGTGGGGAGGCCCTGGCACAGGTTGCCCAGAGAAGTTGTGGCTACCCCTGGATCCCTGGAAGTGTCCAAGGCCAGGTTGGATGGGGCTTGGAGCAACCTGGGCTGGTGGAAGGTGTCCCTGCCCATGGCAGGGGGTGGCACTGGATGAGCTTTCAGGTCCCTCCCAACCCAAACCATTCCATGATTTGATGTTCCTGTGTGTGGTGCTCAGCCAGTCCACACAGTACATTGTCCCCTGGATCCCAAAACAGCGCAGATGTCTCGACAAAACATTTAGTGTTGTTAAAATGTTCAGTGGAGTGTGTTTGGAGGATATCTGAGCTGCTTTGCTCAGATGGAACTGGATGGGCTTTAAGGTCCCTCCCAACCCAAACCATTCCAGGATTCCGTGATATACTGAGATATTTATAGGAATTTTTGGATAATGATAGTGAATTGGAGAGGGACATCTTACAGTGAAAGGAACTGTGTGTGTCTACTTCTGGGACCTCCAGTCTGCCAAATTTCAGTGTGCTGACTTGAGGAGCTCCTTCTACAGCTTAGGGGGATTCTTTCTGTTATCCCTTAAACAGATAAATGAGGACACTTTAGTCATTTCCATCATACACACATGGCAGTGTAAGCTGAATGTTGGATTGTGTGCTTACATGTAGAACAAATGGTTTAGCTTTCTGTGCCTGGAGAAAAAAGAAGGGACAATTTACTGTGTAAATGGTGAGTAAATTAACCTGATTTGATCAGTAATTGTACCAAATTATTTATGAGTTTATTGTAGCTTTCAGGCAGCTGCCACTGAAGCAGGTTTGATGCTTGGCCTGCTTTCCATTGCAGGTACATGTCAACTTTGTATTCACACCCAGACTTTCCAGCCAAGGGCCCAAAAGAGATCAATGAAGAGCTGATGAACTCTGTGAGCCACAACCCCCTCCTGCTGCTCACTCCTCAGAAAGTCAAACGCTACATCGAAGCCCTGTGGAATAAGAAGAGTTCAGGGCAGCCTGTCACCTTCACGGATATCTTTGGAATGCTGATAGGGGAAACACTTATCCATGATGTGAGTTCTGGGCTTTTCTTATCACTGTTAGGGTTGTGAAATTATTGCATAGTAACCACTGTTACTGCTTTTTTTAAAATGACCTTGGTAACATTTGGCAAAACGTGTTTAACAATAGAAATATTTAAAGTTACAGCTGGACAGATACTGGATAAGACAGTATCTTGCTCTGGGGGATGAACTCGACCTCTGGGTACTTACAGCAAGCTCTTGACATTGTGTATCAACATTAAAATTCCTGCTCAAACCATTTCAAGAAAATTTACAATGTGGTGTGACCTCTTCATGCACAGTTTGCTATTAGAAAAGCAGCATTTGCTTAACAAAGTACTAATTTCAAGGTGAACGATCCACATCTCTGTCTGTTTTTATGTGTTTTTCTGAGAAGAGAGACAACAGGAGAGCTTCATACTCTTGTATTTTGTTATTCAGCAATCCTGCTTGGGTCAGTTAGGGTTGGACAATCCTGGCTAAATCAGGCACACAGACTGCAAGTCCAAATGTGTCAGGTGAGCAGCAGTTGGATTTGATCTTATGGCAAGATTGAAATGTATAAATGGAGCCATAGGGGTGTTTTATACACTTGTGTATAAATTGTTATTAGGCTTTAAACAGTTAAAATACTGAAAAACAGGCAACACAGCTCTTAGTAACAGATATACAGAATTCTGATGCTGAAGGGATCTTGATGATGGTGTGAGGTTGGTTAGATGTCCCTGTTTACTAAGGGATTAAATAAAACCCAGATGTTGCTGTGTCCAGCAATTCTGTTTGCTTTTTGGCCATGTTATTTTGGCTTCTGTAATGTGTCCTTCTTTCATCTTCCTCCTGTGTCCTCTCCCACTCCTTCCTGAATTGTGCAGCCAAAAGGTGTTCAGGCAAATTATTTCCTTGTACCAATTTTTCTGGTTTTCCTAGAAGTAACTGAGTTTGTCCATTTTCCTTCTCAAATTTCAGAGAAAGGAGGAGTCTCCCAATTCTTTATATAAATGTAAAAATAGAAATATTTTTATGTAAACATATAGTATATAAATATAATTTAGATAATATGTATTCTATATATTCTATATATTCTATATATTCTATATATTCTATATATTCTATATTCTATGTATTCTATGTATTCTATGTATTCTATGTATTCTATGTATTCTATGTATTCTATGTATTCTATATATTCTATATATTCTATATTTTATATATTCTATATTTTATATAGTCTATATAGTCTATATTCTATATATTCTATATATTCTATATAGTCTATATTCTATATAGTCTACATTTTATATATTTATCTAGAATATATATAAATATATAATATAATTATACTATATTTATAAATAAGCTATATTTATAGATATATTACATATATATACTGATATATATATAAACATAATAAATAAATAAATAAGTAAATAAATAAAGACCTTCATAGGACCTGTTTGGAACTGATCTTTCTCTCCTGCAGAGAATGGACACCACTTTGAGCAACATGAAAGAGAAAACCAATAATGCCCAGTGTGCTCTGCCACTCTTTACGTGTCTCCATGTGAAACCAGACGTGTCAGAGCTGATGTTTGCAGGTATGACTCCAATCTGGGTGTTGGGTCACTTGTGGGAAGAAGAGAGAAGTGTGTGGATCACAAAAAAAAGCCTCTTTTTTAAAGGAAGGACATGGAGCTGCTGGAGAGGGTCCAGGGGAGGCACCAAGATGAGCAGAGGATGGAGCAGCTCTGCTGGGAGGAAAGGGGAGAGGGTTGGGATTGTTCAGCCTGGAGAGGGGAAGCTTTGGGGTGACCTGATTGTGGCCTTGCAGGGCCTGAAGGGGCTCCAAGAAAGATGGAGAGAGACTATGGACAAGGGATGGAGGGACAGGACACAGGGAATGGCTTCCCACTGCCAGAGGGCAGGGATAGATGGGATATTGCGAAGGAATTGTTGGCTGTGAGGGTGGGGAGGCCCTGGCACAGGTTGCCCAAAGAAGCTGTGGCTGCCCCTGGATCCCTGGAAGTGTCCAAGGCCAGGTTGGATGGGGCTTGGAGCAACCTGGGCTGGTGGAAGGTGTCCCTGCCCATGGCAGGGGGTGGCACTGGATGGGTTTTCAGGTCCCTTCCAACCCAAACCATTCTGTGATTCGGGATCACTTACTTGGGTAGGTGGATATTCCCTGGATTGGTGCAGTATTTGCACCAGGGTTACAGGGCTGTGGAGAACAGGCATCATCAGATGGGTGTATTCCTTGTGGCACACCATGGAACTGAACCTTTTCTTGCTTTTAAGATGCATCTTTTCTTGTAGGTGGAGAGAAAACAGCCTGTATTTTGGGTCCACAACCTTTCATTTCTCTGTCATTCTTGGATTTGGAGACTTGTTCTTAGACCATGTTGGAAAACTATTGTTTTTTTAACCTGAAAATAAGTCTGACACCATAGCAGCCCTGAGAAGTGGGAAGTGGTGGCCAGGTTTTGTTCTCTGTATGTTAAAAAAGTGATTTCCTAGCAGTTGCAAAGAATATTCCTTCCCCATGAAGGAGCTGAGCAGGAGTCAGGATAAAAAGGAATCTGGTGTGTCCAACAGGGAAAAACTGCTTAACATTAATGTATCAAAAACCTTAAGGGAAGTGTCTTCAGTCATACAGGATTATTCCCCTTCCTAAGAAGGGTGAAAGTAACACTTAGGCTTGATGATCTTAGAGGTCTTTCCCAACCTGAATGATGCTGTGATTAAAATGGAACAAACAATTTAAATATATTGCCTGTTTTTTACCTCTTGCCCAGTGTCAACTGCTGTTGGTGATGAAGGAGTGGCTTGTGCTCCTATTTAATCCATAAATTTTAATCCCATCTGGAAACCCCAGTTGAGAGTGGGTCCAGTTGTACAAGATGCTACACAAAGTATGTGTCTGTCTACATATAATTCTGTACAGGACTGAGAAGGGAAATACCAAGTGGTTTGCCCAAGGTTTATAAGTCATTGTGTTTCCTAAAATGATTATTAGGAACAGTTGCTCTCAAAGCTTTGGTTGTAATGGAAAATGAGGTGTAAATTAGGCTAAATTTGTCATGGGAAAATGTCTTTAACTTTCCTACTTAAGAAACTGATACCTTTTTGTTGGAAAAGAGAAGTATATTGAGGTTTAGATGAGCTGCTGTTTTGATACGTTACTTATTTTCTGCTTTAAAAACATCTTTAGTTAAGAATGGCTTTGTCTAAGCAAGACCAGAAGCACCTGAAGGCCTTACTTTGGTCTAGAAAAGGTGTTGCCTCTGGCAGTGGATCTTGGGTTTGCTTTTTTGGGCTGTCATCTGTATCATTCTATAGGGTGCTGGATTTTATTGTTTCTATTTTAGGCTTTTTCCCCCTCTTATAGAACTGAACAGTTTTTCCTGATGTGAAAGATACAGTAAATTTTGAGCAGAAATATTTCTTTTACACTTGCTTATTTACTTGATTATGGTTGGAGGCAAGACCTTCCCTGTTGAAATGTGTTAATTATATCAGATAACAAGATGTCCTGTTTCCCTCACCAAGAGCATTTGGGACCCTGTGTGGTGTGGCCTACCCAGAACTGCACTCACCATTTTAACTGAACATAATTAGAGTGATTTAGTTAAAGACAGCTCTTTACTTTAATTATGACAGCTTCTGTAATGATAAAAACATTACCTGAAGATACTGGTATCCAGGGTTAAAGAGGGAGTGGAATTTAATGTTTGGCTTGGATTTGGGGGGGTTTGTTCTTGATGGTCATTACAGTAAATTTGTGAGTCTGAGAGTGAGTCTGTTGCTCTCTAAGTGCTACAGAATTAATTTGGGAAGCCTTGAGGGATAAATTCCAGGTTTCAGAGGGACCTTCCACTCTCTGTTAGTGGCCACTGTCTCAAGGAGCTTCTGGAATGGCAGAAACTAATGCTGAAGCCCTCTGATTTTAAGGCAGAGACTTTATTTCCCTAAGCAGGGTGTGGCATCTCAGAAATTCTCTTCAGGCTGAAGGTGGACTCTCAAAGATTAAATTAATTCTAATTCTCCATTCAGCTTTGTTGCCCCCTGGTTCTGAATATCTAAATATTGGCCCATTCATGTTTATACAGCTAAAGGGAAGTACTGTGCCATTCCTGCACTGGGTCTTCAAAGGAATTCCCTTCTGCTCCAGCGAGTGTGAAGATTTGGGGGTGGTTTATTTGGAAAACACTGTGTTGTGTTTGACTTAGCATTGATGAGCACTGCCCTGTGAAATGAAACTCGCTGCAGCTGGGGTTAAATCTTTCCTTTTCAGGACAAGTGTTCACCTCACGTTCAACAGGAATATCCTGAGGGATGGATGGCATTCCATGACGTGGGGGGGATTTTTCAAAGCTGTCTCTTTTGCCTTTCCATTGCAGAATTATTTCTGACTTGTTTACACGAGCAGTCCAATCAATCACTGCTGAAAATAGGGAAGGGAAAACAGATGAATGGGTGAAAGACTAAAAATGTAGAATAAATTTGGTTTGTTGTTTGCTTTTTGAAATGAATTCTCTGATGTAAGTGACTCTACTGGTATCAAAGAAAGTATTTCCAAGTCAGCTAAAATCCATTTTCAAAGAAGGCCTACATCAGTAGAACGTAAATCACTTCTGAAATTTTCTGCCAAGATCAGAAATGCATTGAACATGAAATATTCCATATTTTTCTTGAACTCTGTTCAATAAAAAAGGATTTTAAAAATATTTTTGGCAGTGTTAGAATTCATAAGTTTATCAGCTGCCTCTCAGCTTTGCCTTTGCATTTTAGATTTCACCATAAACTTTAGGTTTGGGTGGAATCCAAATACCTCTCCTGGAATATTTCACAACTTCTGTGATACTCAAATCATTTTTCTGCCACTTTTATCCCTGCTTTTCACATTTTTGATAGAATCACACTGAAAGAAAAGAAACTTGGCCCTCAGACCCACGTTACACTTGGTGTGGCAGGGAATTATGGTGAGGCTTGAGATGGAAACCAGATGTCATTGTGTTTTTCTCACTCGTGATCACTCCTTTAATGCTTCTGGTTTTACAGCCTCATTTTTTTTTCACCAGGTTGATTGTGATAACAGAAAACGAGACTGAGAATTCCTTCCCCGTTGAGACATCACTGTCCTGCATTTGAAATCAACATTTTGGCTTCTCCAAAGCCTTCCTGTTGGTTATTTAGCTTCTCAGTTCACTACAATTTCTTTGCTGGCACAGAGGTTTTATTCATTTCTGTGTTTTCCTTCTCATTTCTGTTCAGGTTGAGATTGCTGACTAAGGCCAGTTTTGTTTCTGATTTTGCAGACTGGGTGGAATTCAGCCCCTATGAGATTGGTATGGCCAAATATGGCACTTTTATGTCTCCTGATTTGTTTGGCAGCAAGTTTTTCATGGGGACAGTGGTGAAGAAGTACAGTGAAAATCCCTTGCATTTCCTCATGGGTGAGTATGTGGCAGAAAGAGGCTTAACAATAAAAATAATTTCAGTAGTTCATGAACAAGGGCTTTTAAATGCAGTCACACAAAGTGTGAAGAGATTAATTGGAAAGATTTCACAGACATGGATTGGCATTTCTTGTTTCTTTGTTTCTTGTTTTGTTTCTGGTTTGGACATCTGAGCATGTTCCAAAATCAGAGGTGTGTTCAGAGAGCAACCAACTGCTTAAAGAGATTATTAAAATATGTGGTTGTTGTTTTTTTTTTCTTCTACTGACCTCCATTCGTTATTTATTTCCCTTTCCAGGTGTTTGGGGCAGTGCATTTTCCATATTATTTAACAGAGTGCTTGGTGTCTCCAACTCTCAGAATAAAGGTCCCACCATGGAAGAAGAATTAGGTAATATTAGTAAATAATTCTGCTGTGCAAAGCAATTACTGCCAGGATTCAGTGCAGTCTCCCTCTGTGGGAGGATGGCACTGCTGGGAGTCATTTAATTAGTTACCTTTAATTGCTGACCTTGCAAGATGCTGCAGGGGTAGGGAAGGAGGGTTAGGAGTGTTCTTTTCTTCCTTTCACTTTTGTTTCTGCTCAGTGATGCTGCATTACATGCACATATCCAGCTCTCCACAGGAAGTTCTTAGAATCCAACTCCTTTTTTTATGTTGTTATGCTGATTTTTGGAGATCAGAAGCTGACAAGGACTTAATAGTCACTTATGTAGTCTCTTGACACTGCACTGTTTAATCAAGGGATTACTAAAATAGTCCTAAATTTTATCATCTCTGGATTGTTAATGTTCCATTCTTCCCACAGCCTCCTGGTATCTGATTTAGTGATTTTGGTTTCATTCCACACACAAATGGTATGATGACTGGAAGGAAAGAATTTTAGCTTGGTTTAGATGGACTTTATTGTGTTTTATTCAAGAATGTAGTTAATGGTGAAAGGTTTTTACACTTCTGTTTCCCATTCAGAGGGCAGCATTACAAGGAAAGGACCTGGCCAATAAATAAATTGTACTTGACAGCCAGATTTTTCTGAAGAGCAAGAAAAGAAAATGGATATTGAGATGACTTATAAAAAAAACCAAACCAGAGAAACCAACCCAACAAAAAGCCCACACTTGTCCCTTGGGTGTCTGTGTCTCCTAACTGATGGAATTCAACTGTTTGATAACCTCCTTATTTATGGATGAAAATGAGACCTCTGGGTTCCTGTTTGTGATGAGTGTTATCACCTGCTCCTGGAGGATCCCTGTCCATAAATGTGATCATGGAAAAGTGTGTTCCTGCTTTTTAAAGATATCGAGAGACAGAATGTTACCTGTCATCTCTGACTCATTTCACATCTCAGTTTAAAAATACCCTGGGAAGTGGGATCAGCTCTGAAAATATTAAGGTGGCTTCAACCCCAGAGCTGAAGATGTCCCAGTGACACCTTGGGACCACCAAAGTGAAGGCCAGAATTCCAGGGGACATCAGAAGAGCTGGTGCTGCCCACAGGATGATGTGTAAATCACACCTGGAGGGTAAACAGTGAATTTTCCATGGGGGTTGCTGCAAAGAGATTATTTGATATCCACAGAAATGCATTTGTTGGCTTTGTTAGCCTCCATTTCTGGTCAGGGATTTTTGTTTTGACCTGTCTCCTCTGCCGTGGCTCAGGAATTTTTGGGTGTTTGTCCACTGAGGGTGTTTTTGAATAGTCATTGGGGACCCACTGAGTACTGACAAGTAAAATTAGTGAAGGAAAAATGTAATGACTCAGCTTTTGTGACTTTTTTGTGGGGATTTTTGGAGTGTGGGATGTAAATCTAAGGGGGCCTAACCCTCTTTAGAAAATAATTTCAAGTGCTGGTCATCTGTGTCCAGTATTCATTCCCAAGCATAATGAAGCTGCGAGTTTATACACCTGATATTACAGTGACTGTCTTCAATTTTCTCTCCCACCTTAGAGGAATTAAATTTAGACTTAGCAAAAAAGTGCAACATGTAGCTGTCATTGCTTTAATACTTCACTGGGTAGAAATTACAACCTGTATTGGAATTTGCAGCCCAAAGAATGGGAATGCCACCAGCATCTACTTATCCTTCTGTGAGAGAAAAAAAAAAGGTGTTATTTTATTTTATTTTCACTTTTTAATGGAAAAAAATCGAGTAGTTGATAATACTTTCATTGGGAAACAACCCACATTCAGTTTATTTTAACTGGCCTCAAGTGGTTGGACTTAATGATCTTGGAGTTCTTCTCCAACCTTAATGATTCTCTGACATTTCTATTAGAGATGATTCCTAACATACATTTTACTTGGGGAAAAAAGGGGTTTAGTCTTCAAAAATCTTCCCCTGGATACATTTTCCTCACTGGAATTCAGTGCCTGGCTCCAGTCTCTGTAGGATAAAAGCTTCCAAGATGAGGCTACTCCTAAAACATTGGGAATCTACTGTATTTCAAGAAAGGCTGCCCTCCACAGTTAATGAAAATTATAATATTGCCAAATCTAAAATCCATTCTCACCTGGTTTCGCCTCCCCTACAAAGCTGACCTGGGGAGTGGAATGTGCTACTGTGTCAGTGTTCATTTTGCCTTTGAAAAACAAAGATAAACCTCCCGAAATGCAGATTTTTGCCAGGGAAGTTCACTCGGTTTTGGCTTCGTTTCTCTCACTTGATGTTCTGAGATGCAAACCATATTTTCTACCTGTTTAACTGCACTGCCTTTATTTTTCACACACACTCCAACAAAACTTTCATAATTATTTTGGCTTTTATTCTCCCAGTGTTTTTAAGGGTACCCATTCATATGTGTATGAATGATGTTAAGGATTCCTCTTTTTTTAAAAAAAAAGCAGATACTTAACAGAGATTAATGTTTTCTTCCTAGTTCACTAGGAATTATTGAGAGGACAGAAGCTAAACATCTAACTTTGAATCACAGAGAATGAAGTGTGTCAGACACGTGGTGCAGAGGGGGGTGAGAGGTACTGCTTTGGGATTACATTTTGCTTTCTCAGCCCCAAAATTGGAGGCCAAAGCAAATATCTGCTGCTCTAATGTCCACAGCAGATCCAGTCTTTTCAGCTGTATTTTCTATTGCAAAGACTGGGCCAGTTTTGTGACTCAGATTGCTGTGAAATTCTGAGCTGTTTTGAGAGTTAAAGCCCAGCAGTTTAAAGGAATTTTATATTTCTTTTAACAGAAAATATCAGGCTCAAGCACCTCGTAAGCAATGACAGCTCAGACAGTGAAGATGAATCACAGCATCCAAAAGGTAAGAAATGATCAGTTTTCGTTTCCTAATTTCTTTTTTTTCGCAGCTTTTGTATAGCCCAGCAGGGCTTCCCAGAGCTCTGGAGTTCCACATCCACCCCAAAATGTGGTTTGCTGAGCCAGTGAGCTCCAGAGGTGTATTCCCAGCAAGCAGCTGAGCTCAGAGCCACGTTGGAATTGTCACCAGCCCAGCAAACTGAAACTTTCCATTGTTCTCAAGGGTTTCTTGATCAAACACTCACCTGAGAATGGTTTAATTTGTGGTTCCAACATTCACAGGTGTCTTCTAGCACCTGTAGAAATGACATCTGATACAGGAAATTCCCAGAGCTTGGCTCAGTGTTTGTAACAGTGCCCAAATCCAGCTTCCCAGGACAGGCACAACCACAAAGGGAGTGTTGGGAGTGGGAAGAAAAGATGTGATTGAAAATTATCTTGAAGTATCTAAACCACCTGGGGATTTCTGTGGTTTTAGTCAGGGACTCAGTCTCAGCCTAATAATGCTTTCTGATGATGTTTTTGGGGCCAACAATGATTTTCAACTGAAAAAAACCCCTGGTTATAATTTTAACAACCAAAACAAAGATGGGAATGCAGCTGTTTGTGATTTCAGGATCTACAGGAAGAAAAGAAAATCCTGTGTCATGAGACAGGGAATTATGTCACTACCTCAGTTCCATGATTACTTCTTCAGTTCCCCCTATGTGTAAAATAATTTTGTAGGTGGTACCACATCTTGTGTTTATTTGTGGGTTTCCTGTTTAATCATTACAGCCAGCACCAAACACTCCATTTCCCTCATGGTTTGTAGCCATAGTGAACTACCTACAAATCTGTGATTGCAAACACTTGGCAATCCCTCTCACTTCCATAGAATGTTGTACAGATACTGAACCTCTACACTTTATGGTGCTCGTTTTCTCCCTACTAATACAAAAAATTAGCTCCATTAAGGCATGGATTAAAGAGGCACATTTAAAAGCTGGATTTAAAGTATCAAGCTTGAGCCTGAATTATCTTCTTATACAAAACACCCCAAAAATTTAAGTTTTGACAGTTTATGAATGCAAGGTGGTGCCAATCCAGGTAATTTTTACTGTGAGCTCTAGCTGCAGACATACAAGTCTGATTGCTTCATTGTGCCCTTCAGTTAATTAAAACCAGATATTAATGGTAGTCTGCAGTTTACCGTAAGTGTATTTTCAGATATTTTAGAATTCCCATGCTAATTATTTTTAATTTTAATTATTTTAGCGTTTCCATGCATTCTTTTATTCCTTTTGAAGGAAAAATGTGTTTCTAGCTATCAGCAAAGGGTGGAGAAGGCTGTCAATGCACATCCAGAAGAATTTCAGTCTACACAGAGCATAGATTTTGGCAACTCGGGTCTGTCTGTCCCTGAGCCCAGGAGAGTTGCATTCTGAGTGCTAGCACAGAGAAAGCCTCGTTGCCCTCATCCAGACAGGTCATCTAAGGTGTTCCCAATGTATTTTCCTGAGGGACACATCCACACTGTTACACTGCAGATGAACAGCTGAGGGTGGATTCTCTCCGTTCCTCTGAAATGGTTGCAGCAAAGCTCCCTCCCTGAGCCCACAGCTCGCTGAAAGGATGCTGTGACATTGTTTTTCCAGGTCCTTTGCTTTAGCAGCCCCAGCAGTGTTGTGCTGACCCTGGCCGGGGTGTTGTGCTCAGCCTGACTGGGGTGTTGTGCTGACCCTGGCCGGGGTGTTGTGCTGACCCTGGCCGGGGTGTTGTGCTGACCCTGGCCGGGGTGTTGTGCTGACCC